GGCGGCCTCTCCTCCTGCAGATCCGCCCTGCTCTGTGCATGACAGGGGGCGGTGCCCCAACTCCCCAATCGGCCCTGCTCTGAGCCCGACCAGGGATGGCACCTAGGGATTGGGCCTGCCCTCTGCCACCCGGGAGCAGGCCTAAGCCAGCAGGGCGTTATCTCCCGAGGGGTCCCAGACTGCAAGAGGTCACAGGCCAGGCTGAGGGACCCCCTTTTCCCTCTGAGTGCACAAATTTTTGTGCACCAGGCCTCTAGTACTTATATAATGATTAATGAAATTCTACACAGAATAAAAATACACGAATTTCTGACACATGCACTAATGATGAGTTTTTTTTGTTTTTGTTTTTTTATAATATATTTTATTGTTTTTTTACAGAGAGGAAGGGAGAGGGATAGAGAGTCAGAAACATTGATGAGAGAGAAACATCAATCAGCTGCCTCCTGCACACCCCCCACTAGGGATGTGCCCACAACCAAGGCCATGCCCTTGACTGGAATCGAACCTGGGATCCTTCAGTCCGCAGGCTGTTGCTCCATCCACTGAGCCAAACCAGTTAGGGCGCTAATGATGAGTTTTAGAGACATAATAATGAATGAAAGCCAAATATGAAAAAATACATGATATATAATCCAATTTATATAAAAGTTAACAATAAGTAAAAACTATAATGTTAGAAGTTAGAACTTTGGTTAACTCTGAGGAGGTAACAGTTTTTATTCCATATTTGCAATGAGAAATACAATTCACACCTCCTTCCTTTTTAAGTTTTTTGTTCACAGTGTGGTTCACATACCAACTGTATATTACTGGTTCACAATAAGGTAGGTATTTCAATTAAAAATAAGTAATTTTAAATATGTGTAGCAACTTGACAGAAATTTTATATCTGATGAATGTAACAATAGAAAACTGGGGATTGTATTTTCAATGACTTTTGTCATTTAATTTGTCTAGTAATTATTTTGTATGTATGTTTTATAGGCTAGCAAACAGTAAGTAAATATGTGATATAGTACCTTAAACTGTTGACTATTATTACACTTGCAAGCAACATCATATACTGGGTTTATTATGACTTTAAAAGTTTTTTACTAAAAAAAGAGTCACATCCTTTACTATATTCCAATGGTTTCTACCTTGTGAGTTTTCTGATGGACAATGAGATTTGACTTACAACTGAAGAACTTACCACATTCTTTACATTCATACAGTTTCTCTCCTATGTGAGTTTTCTGATGGCGAATGAGGTTTGACTTCCTACTAAAGGCTTTCCCACACTGAGGACATTGATTGGATTTCTCTCCTGTATGTATTCTCTGATGAACAGTGAGGATTGCCTTCTGGCGAAAGGACTTCCCACATTCATTACAACTATAGGGTTTCTCCCCTGTATGAATTCTTTGATGGAGAGTGAGGGTCGTCTTTTGGCAGAAGGACTTTCCACATTCATTACAAATATAGGGTTTCTCTCCTGTGTGAGTTCTTTGGTGTACAGTGAGGGTTGTCTTCTGGATAAATGCCTTCCCACATTCATTACATTGATATGGTTTCTCTCCCGTGTGAGTTCTCTGATGATCAATGAGGTATGACTTCTTTCTAAAAGCACTTCCACACTGAGTACAATCATAGGCTTTCTCCCCTGTATGTATTTTGTGATGCCTGGTGAGGGTTGCCTTCTGGCGGAAGGATTTCCCACAATCCATACAAATGTAGGGTTTCCCCTCTATGTGTGTTTTCTCATGAAGAGTGAGGGCTGTCTTTTGACGGAAGGCTTTTCCACATTGACTGCAAACATAAGGTTTCTCACCTGTGTGAATTCGCTGATGCTCAATGAGATATGACTTCCTTCTAAAGCTATTCCCACAATAAGAACAATGAAAGGGTTTCTCTTCTGTTTCAGATGGCTGATGTATAATAAAAATGGGCTTCCTGCAGAGGAAATTCCCATATTTGCTATATGCATGGGACTTCTTCTCCATAAGATTTTGTGGATGGACACTGGAATTTGACTTTTCAATGAAAGGTGTTCCATTTTTATTGTATTCAAAGAGTCTTTCTCCTCTATGAGTTCTAGTATGTGTAAATAACATTTCTTTCATAAGGAAGGAATTTTCACATTCATTATGTTCAAATGATTGCTCTGGAGTTTGAACCTTCTGATGTTTAATAAGCTCTTGCTTATTACTCAGACTGCTTTCTGTTTGTTTATAGAAATTTTCTGCAGTATGAGTTTTCTCATGCTTTGTATTGAGAAGTGATTTCTCCCATCCGTTACCCTCACCAAACTTCTCTCTTACAGGGCTTATATTTCTAATGACTAATTCTGAAATATTTTTCAAAGCCTTTCCATCAGGTTTATATTTATGTAGTGTTGTTTTTGAAATAATATAGTTCTTGCCTACAGTAAGTGTCTTCCCCAAAATATTTTTTTCCTTAATTAGTCTTTCATGGTTGATGAATACAACTGATCTAAAATGCCTATCTTGGTATTGTTTAAACTTCATTAAGACATCTTCAGCTTTCCCATCTTCTTCTAGAAAAGAATACAAAAAACAGTGTAAGTCTTGATATAAATGTTATGAATTAGACGTATATACAAACAATCTATTGTGCAACTGTCTGTCTCACTATTGTGATCTACAGAAAGGCCAAAATAAACTACCTCTTGGTAGACAAAATGCATGGAACTTAAACACAAATCCTGCTAAACTGTTAAAATGAAGAATAATTGGCATAAGCAAAGAACACTCATATCTTTGACATATTGTAAATATAAGTTACATCAAGCAGGTTTAATTAATACAAGGGCAAGTAAGCAAAAGATGGTGAAAGTGGCATTATTCTTGGAATGGGCAGGTTTAGAGATGATGGAGTGAGCCTATCAAAAGTACTAACCAGTAAACAAGCAAAATTGTTCAGGTGGAGATGAAAGTGTATATACTTATTTCCTCAGGCCTAAAAAGGTGTTATAAAGGTATCATTTGCTATTTATAGCAAATGAACTTTATCAAGCACTCATTTCATTATTTTGAAAGAAACACTAATCTATATCTAGGCCCTAGCTCTCCATATAACTGATTTATTTTCTCTTGAAAGGGAAGAATTAGAAAAACATTTCATTAGGAATTATAAAATAAACCAGAGGACAAAGCATACTTTCAAATGAACATAATCACTGATTGCTGCTATATCTATTTATTCTTCCAGGGGGATGGTCAATAACTAAATTCTACTGATCATCAATTCTAATTGTCCCTCCTTTCAATTTGCTGAAGTACTTTTTCAGTGTTAGAGAAAGATGGGTTCAAGTTTTCCTCCCAATGCAGTAACATGCCTTAAACTCTGCTATTCCCTATTGGGACTGTGAAGGACTAGATTCTTCAGTATATGTGTATAGCACTCATTGACCTTACCTATTATCCTATACAATAAAGAGCTAATATGCTAATTAGACAGACGGCAGAATGACCTTTCACAATGACCTTCTGGAACAACCAGCGGTTGGGGGGCAGGGCCACAGGGCCATGAGGCAGCAGGGGCTGCAAGGGCCTACTTTTGCATGAATTTTGTGAATCAGGCTTCTAGTTTTTCTTATAAATTCTTGGCAAATTTTACTACTGTTATCTTACTACAACCCACATCTGGTGGAGCAGTTTTAAAGATGGGTTTATCTTACCCATAATTTGTACCTTATTTACAATAGCCCGAAACTGGAAACAGCCCAATTATCTATGAAAAGATAAACAGGCAATATTGTGTCATGTAATTATACAAGGTAATACTACTCAGCAATAAAAAAAGGGGGAGAAAACCTACTGATGACAAAGGGATGAAGCTAAAACATTTTTCAGAGTGAAAGCTTTGTGCAAAAAAGTAAATATTGCACAATTCCACTATGTGTAGTCCTAGAACGTGTAAAACTAATCTGTATTGGTAACAGGAGTTACATTGCCATCCTGAGAATCTTAATCACCTTCAAGAACATGCTACTACTCAATTTATCCAAGGCTTCACATATTCTTTCTATCCTTCAATGTCTAATTTGGCTGAAATTAGAATATAGTCTGGACTACCCATTTCAAGAAATATTCCAACAGTTTCAATGAGGGAACAAGGAGACATATGAAACACTTTCAATAATAAAGAATTTATATTTTAAAAAAACTACTAGTATATTTTGAGGATTAAAAATGGCAGGAGAGTAGGAGGATGCTGTACAGACATGCTCCCAGGAATAAGCTGGAATTACAACTGAAATATGGAAAGGCTTACTGAAAAATCAATAGAAAACTCACAGGATAGAAACTTGATACCCAAGGACTGAAGGTGGAGACAGCATAGAGACTGGTAGGAGGGATGGAGGCGCCAAAGGGCTGGCCAGGCACCCACAGATGGCAACTGAAGTCCCGGAGAGACATATCAGCTGTGGTGGGGTGCCACTGAGAACTCTGGGATTTAATCCCCAATCTTCGTCTTTCCCACATAGACATATCTGCCTTGCCTGGCGGGAAGACAGTGGACACACCCTATTGGAAAACACCTTGCCCTGAGGCCACTTAAGAGATTAAAAGTAACAACTAGCCTCCAGTCAGAAGCAACTGCCCCACCCTGTTGAAAAAAACCACACCTGAGGACAATTGCCTGGGGGCAATTCAAGTCAGAATCCTGTTAGTCTGTAGACAGAGGTAGTCTTTGGAGGCTTTGAGTTTTTGCCTGATTCAATTTGTAAGAAATAGCCTTGCCCTAGCTGGTTTGGCTCGGTGGATAGAGTGTTGGCCTGCAGACTGAAGGGTCCCAGGGTTGATTCTGGTCAAGGGCATGTACCTTGGTTGCGGGCACATCCCCAGTTGGGAGTGTGCAGCAGGCAGCTGTTGATGTTTCTCTCT